GAACAGTTTATCTGTAACATATCTAAAATAACACTACATGTGTTTCAAATAGGAACATTTACTACATAACGTCTTAAAGATAGATTATAGTTCAAATATAGATGATAAATTGCAACCATGATATTGCAACCCAAATACCATCCATTCTGTTATGAATTATCACCATTGCTGTATTGACTTGAGCATTCTAAAAATAGAAAAAAAATGTTTTTTTATACTTAATCTGACTTCCTATCATATTTCCTTTGGATTGCATTTACCAGGATATGAATGACACAACACTTCCACAATTTTGATGGGTATTAATTATCATGGATTATTTTGTGAATAGAAGAGATCAACAGATTGGACATCATATAGAAAAGAGGTGACCATGTCGTTTTTGCAAAATCAGTCATAACACAGGACAAAGGTTAAAGTGGAGAAAACCGTCTGTGGCTGAAATCTCACACCAGACAAATATTAGCCATAGAGGCGTAATTGGTACAAGCAATTCTATGAGTTGTGTAATGTTACATACAATTTTGTAAGGGATCAATACCTACAACAAAAGAGAGAGCTGAGATCTGAATGAGAAGCAGGCTTTTCTTAGATGTTACATCGCAGTGTAAATTAAATTATAGCATCAAAACAGAAAATGTTTTATTAACTGTTTCCGTGTTATAACCCAAACAGCGTTAGTCTTAACAAACAGGCCGGGTCGATCAATCCCCTGTGCAATAATCAGTTTAAGTCAACAAAATAGTTTTGAACAATTTGAAGAAGCTGCATGTGCAAAAGAGCAGTCTGTCACTGACCCAGTTTCCGATATTTGCTATGAATTTCATCGAGTTTCAAGAATGAAAAATTATAAATTTTAGTGATTAGTATGGATAAACTGTTCTTACTATCATAATTCAGAATCCTGGACCCAATTACTGATAGCCACCATCACATGCAACATTAAATATTGTCCCTCTAGTCAATTGTCCTTATCTCACATCAATACATATGAATTATTGTTTTATTTCTGGCATCAGAAAGAGTTTTTTTCCAAGTTATTGAATACATTTTGTCACATGACAGTTATTGGCTATTTGAAGTATTATCAGAGAGCGTTCACAGTGCCAGAAGGAAAACATTGAATAAAAGTCTGTAGTGAATAAATACTTAAAAAAAAGATCAAAGTTCAAAATGAAGGTGATAGTGATATACTACTCATCAATAAAATATAATTTTCAGAAAATACCGGAAATCAAAACCTTACTGCTGATAAAATAATATAAAGAATTTCTGAAATGGCCACAGAAACGGTTTTTGCCACACAAAGTCACAGCTTAAATATGGATGTTGAAGATACCAGACACATGTGCCATACATTACTTGAACACCATACAAGAAATAACTGGGGGGCTATGCTATAGAAACACAATGTAATGGTGATATGATTTAACATTATCATAGGTTTTCTTGTTGAATTCAGGTAGAAAAAACTGTCTTGCTAAGACTTTGTTTTCACTATGATTTTCCTTGGAAAATTGCTTTAAAAGATTTGAACACCCCAGGCAACAGTCAAAACTGTTGACCTACAAAGAACATACGAATGTGCCCAAGTATTCCAATGATTTGATGAAGAGCCTTTCTGATCATGATTGTTGATGTAAACAGATGATCTCGATGATATACATAAATCCAGACAGACAAGTATATTTATATCTTAGTATGTGATTATCTCAGATTTGGTTAAGGACGATTTTCAATTTTCCTGTTGTGTACAGAAGACAGTCTCGCGGGAGAAAATTAGCAAAGGTTACTGGATCTAGAATTAACAAAGCAATTACCTTGGTTTGAAATAACGATTTTATACCATTAGGAAATCAGCTAAACCTCGAAAAAGAGGAAACGTTTTGCGACGTTGCAATTTTTTTTCATTATTTTCTATATATATTCTCCCTGACAGCAACCAAGATTGACCTAAAAACTAAATCACCTCCCTGTTGTTTGAAACTAAAAAAAGACATTCTTTTATTTGTTTTACCCCAGAATCTTCAATGAGACCAACCTAGAAACAGTCCTTTACCCCCAGACTTAAATACATCGGAAAATTACCTTAAAACCAGATTCCATTGATTTCAATCCAACATCAGAACTAACATGCTCTGATCTAACTTTGAACAATGTGTCATGATTGTCAATGCATTTTTTTTGCAAGATGTAGTTCTCAACCAAGAATTAAGCACTAAATTTGTTGTGTTGTGATATTAATGATCATTACAAGAGGCCCATGAAGCCCGTTTCCCTCATCAGGACATTTAGGCTTTCTCTTTGAAAGATTTTTCACTATTACAATGTTACTTTTTCCCAAAAAGATGAAGAATTTTGAAATCTCAAATTAACTTTTTTTTTCATTCAACAGAAAAAGAATTACTTCAAACTTACCTTTATTTCCCATATTGGACCCTGCCCCTCTGCAGATTCTTGATTAATATAAAATTAAGTCATCTTCATCCAAAAATATTGGAAATATCATTTAGCTTGAAATACTTTCTTTGCACTTTTATTTGATCTCAAATATCAAATTTATCTACAGTATATTGACACATCAGCCCTCAGACCTATCCTTTTTAGTGATATAAAGTGTTGCCCATATGAAAACAGACAATATAGGGTCGATATAATAGGAGAAAAATTAGTCTTTAAAGAAAGTGACATTGACGGACATGACCTTAAGTGGTTTCCACTGTACCTGCCCTTCAGGATAAAGTTTCGGGTTGACAACACCTTTGTCAGGTTTGGTTGTAAGATCTTCCAACAGACTGTGCCATTCCGTTGGCGGACTTTTTATTGTTTTCATACAAGGTTGAATAATTCATTGAAGAGCTTGTCAAAACAGGTCACAAAGACCTTTCAGATATATAAATGATGTTTTCTCTTTAAATAACAGTATGTACTCAAGTACATTTGTAGCTTTCATACCCATGTATTTTATATGCCATCCTTGAATGAAATCTGATAAATATCAATGCTTTTATGAACAAAAATGTTTTGATGGATTCTCAAAAGTCGACACTAATTTGGATAGGGACAAGAGGTGCAGACAGGGATAGCGTTTACATATCCCCTCATAAAAATTGTGTGATATAAAACCATTTTAGTGTGAATGAATTTGTATTCAGTAAAATCTTGTTTAATGATCAAGTAAGCTCAAATGATATGGAGATTTAGGGAAAACAACTGACTTCAGGTGTTGAACAAACACAATAAAGAGCTGTGAACAAGCAATCCAATTGGCTGATAATCACAGACATGACCATATGCGGTTACATCTCAATCAGCTGTTAATTTTCTAAATTGACTTCTTTCTCATACACAAACAAATTATTCAAATTCACAGATGCAATTCACAACATGACATTTGAATTAACTATAACATATCACATGAAATCCTGAAGCTGTTTTTTCCATCTGATTTTAATGCCATTATTATCACCCTGCCATATCAACGTGACAATTAACATCAATTAGCCAAGACAACCTTGCTTGTTGCTGGTACTTATTGGTACAACTTTCCTTCTACCAAATGTTCCACACACCAAAAACTACAAATGTTGACAACTACAAAATGTGGAAGATTGAAAAGTCTGGGGATTAAAACCTCAAATTCCAGGTCTGAATCCAGAAGATGCGGGTAACTTGATAGATCTTCCATCAAAATCAATACAAATCTATACCTAGTCTGTTATAGGGGGCCATGCTTTTCTAAAAGACTACCTTGCCTATTTGACAGAGCAATGGAAATGTAAGCGTCCAGCTTACAGTACTGGTTTTCATAGCTGAACTATACAATGATAAAACTGGATTTACTATGATACTACGATATAAGGCCAGTGGCTGCGTTATAGTTTGTAAAAAGGTCAAATCTAGAAATATGGCTGTACGAAAATCTTTCACAAACTGGGGATTTTGTATTATATGTTACTTAATTTTAACCATTTTCATTACTTAACATCTCTATATAACCTCGTACAATGTAGTCAATTCAGTTTAAGAATAAAACAAAATTATAACAAGAGGCCCAATGGGCCTGCAGCACTTACCTGGAGCATATATATATAACAACCAAATACCAAATCTATAGGCATTTCAGTTCATGAGAAGTTGTTTAAATGTCTTAACATATTTCATGACCCCTCTGATCTTGAATATAAGTCAATGATGTTTATTTTCCCAAACTTTTTCAGGCCAAGTGAGCTAATAAATATTGTGTACTTGTTATCAAGTGAAAATAACAACTCTCATTATCAAAAATTTCCAGTTGGAGACAAAATATTTGTAATGGAAATTGCTGCCAAATTTACTGAAATTAAAAGGTGACCCTAGTTCAAGACTAGAAACTTAATCAACCAAATAAGGAAACTAAGAACGTGCTAACCAATTGAAAACACAAACACACAGACTGCCTGTGACCCAACTTGGCCTTACAGGTAAACAAGAGTCACAAGGTGTGAAAAAATGGCCAATAGGGCAGTGACAATGATTACATAATGCATCCAGGTGTGATTGTGGCTCTTCAGGCATGAATCTTTAGTTCCTGTTTTTGCTTACCTGTGATTTACCTTTTTATTCATGATAGTCGTCAAAATGAAGCGATATTAAGTATTGTCCAATTGAAAATAAATGATATTATCAGGTACTAGATTGGGATTTCAAGAAAATGTGATATTAACTGGAAATTGACATTAACAGATGTGACATTAAGTGGATTCCACTGTGGTGTCAATACATTTCAGCATTCAATTCTCTGTTCAAAGTTATTACTAGAGTTGATATAGTGATACAAATCCTACATATGATATAGCTGAAATCTACAAGGGCTTTCTTTCAAATTCAAACAGTACAACTGCGGTTATTACCTAGTATGACAATTTCATTACAAATTAATTCAGAAGAAAACATGGCAAACATCAAATAGACAAAAAAAAAGAAGATAAAACTGATTTACAATGTTACAGTTCACTTACCACATGATGAACAGTCTCTGGCACGGCATCTTGACCTTTCAGATCTATCCATGTCGGGAAATACATCAGACGCTCCTAAAACACAATTGTGTCGCATGATGTCATTTTTTATTGTGTCTTAAAAACAAGAGGCTTATGGGGCTTGCATTGCTAGCCTGGTTAATTCAGCGATTCAGTCAATTGACAAAGAATTTCAAAAAAGGAAAAAAAAATCTTAAATATTTCCCCTATTGACAACCCCCTTAGAACAATATTGCTAATTCTTCGTATAATATGGAATAATACAGAAAAAATATTTCGCCAATTTATTTCAATCTGGCTGAAATTTTTTAAAATACTCGGGTAATTGTATTTTATAATGAATATATTTCTCTTTCATTTGGTCTCTGTTCCTAATGTTGAATCTCTTTTGCAACATTTAAGTCTGTTTTGTACTTTCAGCTAAAAGCTATACTGCCAACTCTTATTTCATAGAGTTTGATTATAATCAGGCTATAGAAATAGCTGCATTAATATGGTTTATTTTCTTCCGATTCTGAGAAACCTTGCCTGTACAATGTCTCAGTTTTCATCTTTGAAGTTAGAGTTGTAGATACTCTTCTTCCACAATCAACAAAACAACTTGTCTTTTAAAAGGTGATTTCTGAAGACTGGACATAAAACATTCATCACTATCTTTATGTATCAAAACAGCTAACCACTTTAATCTTTCCTCAGAGTCTTTCATAGAAGGAGTGTTGACAATGACATGTCTGTTGTTCAGCAATCAGTATAAACTTTAATAAGGTGTTTTGAAAATTTCCTCACAATAAACTACGGTCTCTGATCGTAAAACAATGAGTCAGAAAAAAGTACAGTCTTTGACAGTCAATGAAGTCCTCTGATGAGGAAGGAAAATATGAGATATGACATTTAAACAGCACACTGCATAAATGCTACCTTACATGGAAAAAAACTGTACAATAAACATACACCTGTTTCATCTTGCTGAGAAATGATTTAACCAGTAAAATGGAAAATTATTGGAGCCAAAGCTACCACTGTGGTGATGACAAGTATAACCTAATCCTCCCCCTCTTCCTCCCCCCGCCCCTCCCCCCCAACTACTACAGAGAATGTTGATCTACACTACATATTGTGCACAACAGTTTAATTTAATATCTGAATTGTTTAATTATTAACATACAGGGGCAGTAGGTTCCACATGTGTCTTAATGTGAATAATGCCATTTGAGGACAAGAATTAGGAAAATCTATTAGAATGTTATCGTTGAGACAATAATACAAGTTTCATGGTATATTATCACCTTTACATTTAACCTCAAGCCTTAAGACCATTGTAAGGTTTCTGTTCACATGTCAGATATTATATTGCTTGTTTCCAGTGTCTACACTATGTAGGATAACATAATAAACGTGTAATACACCAGGTAGAACAAACACAAAATCTTCATTCAAATCAGGACCCTGACAGTAAAGGATCCTTAACCTTACAACAGCACAGTTTCCTCTTTCCAACAAAAGAAATTTTCTAGCTGATGGACAATTAAAAGAAAGCTAACAGACAGATGGACAATACAAATCTATATGTTCTGCCATACAAAAGACACTTAACACCATCCATACCGCCATTTTTTTGACATCGAATGAGTGTAGGGTTGCTGAGCAGACGATCATCTGTAGACGTTTCCCGTCATTGGTGACCTTGGGAATCTGCTGGTGGAGTCTGTTAATCAGGTCACTGTACCCTTGAGACAGGAGGCCATCCTACAAAATGAAAAGAAAAGAAAAATAACTTAATTTTGACAGCAATAACAAAATCATCAGCAGTATTATTAGGTTAAATACTAAACAATTCATCAACTTTGTTCAGATAATCCTGATTAAAAACATAAACCAGGGCCTATTGCTTGTACTTCAATCTGTTAAAATTGTGTTTTTTTTCTTTTTGTGAAATATTTAATTAGGAATTCAGCAGATAACAAACATCTTTATCTAATAAAAATAAAGTTACAAAATCTTAAGTTGAATACAGGTAATAGAGCCAATGCCGTGTGTTCTAATTGGGTGGTTTGTAGGTTCCTCCACTCCCTCGCTGGATACCCAAAGGTATGCAGGGTGATTGAGCAAAAGGGAAAATCAGACTGGAAGTACCAATCACAACAGGCTGCTGAGTGGTTTTTTTCGTAGATTTATTAAGTACTGTCAACCTGTTTCACTCTCCGGGGTAGGCAAAACCGGTAGACGGTACTTAATAAATCTAAGAAACAACCACTACACAGCCTGTTGTGATTGGTACTTACAGTCTGAAAATCGTAAGTTGTTACATACAATTATAAAGTATCACTGAAAATCAACTGAAGTAAATAAATACCATTAAATGGTTAGATCAGAAACTTTTTTTTTATTTTGTACCGAGTTCAATGCCCAGTCACTGCTAGAGTCATTTTGTGGCTTGTACACCAAACCCTCAGAAAAAAATCCAACCCCAAGGTTAGAAAATATCACTTTTCTACTATTCTTTTCTCTTTACAATCTGGGTAAAGTATTCACATACCCAATAGGCTTTTTCTCCAATCTGAATTTTATAGTAAATACCATAACATGTTACCATATGATGATAGTACTAAGACAGGGAAATCTCTATCCTTCATGACACTCAAAGTTCTTGCCTCCAAGGCAAAAAAATATCCCAAGCCACTTTTCAATTATTTTCAACTCCTACAGTGAAGGGTAAGGATTATAGAAACACCCCTATCATCACTTCACCCCTATTGACAGACAAACCAATCAAATAATTAACAAGGCATCGCAAACGATACAAATCCACTTAGCCGTTCCACCTTCGACTAAATGGCAATAAAAAAGATGGCCAAGGGTGTGAAGTTTGATCCAAAGCCCTCAAGGAATAAAACTTCTGGAAAGCTGATTATCTAACAAGAGGCTCATGGAACCTGTATCACTCACATGGATATTTTAGGTCTCTCTTCAAAACACTTTTATTCACAGTGCTAATGTTTTTCTGAACATGTTAAGTATTTCAGTCCCATCCTTTGTACACTTTAATCCCCACCACCTAGGCCTGCTTTCAGCGAAAAATAACTAATATCCAGTGCATAATCACCACCTAAGTATGCTTCCTGTCAAATCAAGTTAAATTCTAATCAGCAATTAAGAAGAAATCATTTGAAGAAATTGTTGACAGACAATGGACACACAACAGATGCCAGGATAAGGTTCACTTCAGTCCTTTGGACCAGGTGAGCTAAAGAAACTAAAAGTGACTGTTACCATTCAACCATAAAACTCCAACTCTCTAAAGGAATGACGCCACTAGAGTATTGACGAAAATTTCATGAAAACAGTAAAGTTGTCCTTGACCTCAAGCGTAAATCCTGAAATTTTAAATCCTCAAAAATTCATGTTGCTGAAATGAGTCTCGATGTGAAAAAAGTAGTCAACAACATAACTTACCACAAAAAAAACCCAAACAAACAAAAAAATCAATATCATATTGCTGTAACATCAAACGTAGACCTCCAATAATTGCATATACCAAATTTAAGAGGGATGTAGGTTAATTTTGAAAAACTTTCCCCCGTAAAAAATCATGTCCTGAAAAGGGATACTGAGGTTGATAACAGGGAACAGCAATAGCTCATGGTTACTCACAACAGGTGAGCTAAAACTAGCAATGCATAGTGACCTTGTCTTTGATCTTAGTCATTTATAAGTGTGTGATATTTGATCAAAATCTCTTAAAAAGTGAAGCTGCTGAAACAATAACAAGGATTTCTTAAAATAGTAAATTGAGCTTTACCTTGACCCTACAACCCTCAAACCAAAACTTGCCATCTATATGTGTGTGATGTTTTATCAAACTTGCTCAAGAAATGAAACTGGCAAAAGGCTTTCTAACAATATTAACTTAGACATTGACCTTGGCAACCTGAAACAAGAGGTCCTTCAAGGTATTGCCATATTCAACTAATAAATGAAGACTTATCAAAGCCTATTTAAAAATGGAGTTGTTAGCGCAATGATCAGAAGTGTGGAAATAATAAATCATAATCTAAACTCAAATTCAACAAGAGGCCCATCGGGCTTAACGGTCATCTCACTATAAAGACCTATATATGAAAGAGGCCAAATAGGCCTAAAATAAATTTCTCAACTACTTTACAGTTTACTTAGAAGACAATGTTGGTTCATCAAGACATTTTCTGCAAACCTAACAATAAGATAGCAATAAAATTTCTGCAAACCTGAAATAATATTCTTTATACATGCACTCACAATGGCCATTACTGCAGATGCACTGCTTGTTGAAAAAGCAAGCTATAGGCTCAATATCAAGATCCTTGGCTTTTCAGTCATTGAGATGGTTGAGATGATTTGTTTGAAATCTATCTAAGCATTAAGAAAGAGTAGCATTTCAAAGCAAAATATTGCCCTACTTCCCCTTTTGGTGTCCCATCCCAAAGTCCCTAGGGGTCCAATTAACTTTCTGAATTTATGAAATGGTTCTCCACTATCAATGTTTCATACCAAATTTAGTTGAAATCCATTCATCGTTAAAAAAGAGTAGCTTTTTGAAACAAAATATTGACTAATTTCCATTTTTGGGGCCCTGCCCTTAAGTCCCTAGGGGGTGAATCAATTTTCAGTATTTACGAAATGATTCCGTACTGTCAATGATGTTTTAGTTAAGACCAAATTTGGTTGAAATCCATTCAAGCATTAAAAAGGTGTAGCATTTTGGGGTTGAATTAAATTTTTGAATTTAGGAAATAATTGCCTACCCTAACTGATGAATCAGGCCAAAGCTTGTTGAAATCCACCCAGGCAAAAAGGAGGAGTAGAGTTTTAAATCTTATTCCAGCAACTCCCTATTTGGGGCCCAGTCCCTCGATCCCTTGGGGTCAAATCAAAATTCTGAGTTTAAGAAGATATAAACCTCACCCAATAATGCATCAGACCAGATCTGGTTGAAATCCATCCAGGTATGAAAAATGAGTAGGGTTTTAAAGAAAAAGTTCACGCACAATGCATAAGATAGCACACGATGGCTATAGGTCATTTTGACCCTTCGGGTCAGATGAAGTAAAAGTCTCCTGTATTTGAGATTGTTGCTCTTCCTAATCAAAACACACGCTCTTTGATCAGTTTCTTAACACAGACTTGAAAATAGTTCTTATGTTTTAATTTTCTCATATCAAATTACTATAACCCTACATCAAGGTGCCATGTCTGCAATTAGATTTAAGAATCAAGCAGTGGAAAGCCTAAATATCCGAACAAACAGTTCATATGGCATCTTTGTATTTTCTAATTAGTGCTGCTGTCAGCTACACAAGTTCCTTCATTAGTCTATCTACCGATATCTTCATGGCAGCCATCTTGAATGTGCCACGAGCTAGAATTTCAGTCAGGATTTACTGCAGATCATGATTACACAAAATTGTTGAAGGAATTCTTATTGCCATATGACTTCCCAGTCATGAGAGAGAGCAAGATGATAGCCAGCTTAATTGAGACCGTTCCAAATTCCAATTACGGCTGTCTATAGACCAAACACAATTCATTAGTGAAGTCTTGTTTCAATATGGCTTTATATTCAGTACTAACCAGATTTTGTATGTCCACTTTGAAAGTCACATGGGTTTGAATTTTTTTTCAGAACCAACTATTGACCATGCCCAACAAATAAATTGACATTAAAACATTATCCACTTTGAAGCGGTAGCACTTAAAGATGATATTACTGACCACAATCAAACATTAGAGGTAAAATCCTAAATCTGTTCTCTTTATAAACTGCTTCAACAAAAAATCCTTAGAAAAACAAATAAATACAATTTCTTGCAAGAAACAATATCCAAAGAGTCCCAGATGTCATTTTTCCCAAACTCTGATGGGCTTCATGCTGGAAACCTCTCAGCTAAATATCATGATGATAGACCCTTTGGATATTGCAAAGAAAATGTTTAAAGGAAAAAGTTGACGCCAGCTGTATGGATGACAAACAAACAACAGATGGAGTACAAACAAACAACAAACACCGCACCACAGCACAAGCACTTCAAGCCAAGTTGAGCCATAAATGCCAGCTGTATACATCCATGATTGATTCTTAATTGAATTTCAATGAATTAAATGATACCAATTTCTATCAACTTCTTGCAATTCAAATGCTGAGTTACAGAAGGTAAACAATATCAGAGTGCAACATTAAAAGAGGACATTCAATAATGTCTTCAGTAATAACAAATAGATTTCACAAGTGTGTTTAATATTTCATTAGAAACAAGAGTGAAATATATTTGTTATTACTGAAGACGCTATTAAAAATTCTATATATACATTTTCTCAAGCAAAACAGAAAAATTACACATAAAGAAGGCCAAAGCTGACTATGCTTTAGCACACACTACTCATTCATTAACTCTGCGGTACATAACAAAATATAACCTGGTTTTTCTTTAAATCATTAAAAACATATAGACACAAATTAATTTTAATGTAAATTAATTTTGATTATTTATGTCACTACTAGACAACATCTGTTGTAAAACTTTCTGAGACAGTTTAACCTATTACAAGTTACTACATGGCTGAAAATATGGCAGCAACCTAGCTATCTCTGTCAGGGATAAAAGTCCTTCTGAAATGTCTAAATTGACTTTCAAGACCTGTGGCTGGGGATTGGGTTTGACCCCTGATAAGGTTTTTTGAGTTAATTTGCTTGCTGACTTCCACGAAATTGAAAGTTGTTTCACTAGTAAACAACCCCTTCAGATGTCTGGTTTTGTGATTTTTTGTACTTTTATGATTTGTCAGTGTCATAAAATTATTTGTGTTCTCTCTTTTCAATGGTCCTTGTCTACAAAGTGTTATTTCACTGGCAAAAAATGTACCTAATAAATATGACTTAAATAAATCAAGTCTACACCTCCAGGACAGTCTCTGTAACTTGACAAGAGACCCTGGGCCTCTATTGCTACTATTGTGTTCAATGGGTTTTCATATACATTTATATCTAACATTACTGCCAGTCAATTTAAGTCTAAATAAAATTCATTGAAACAAACTTCAAACAATAGCACAGCTCACCTCTGTAAGGTTAATCAATAACCCAAACTTTTAGGTCAGACTCCGGGAAGGTCAATTAACCCTACAGAGACCCCAATACTGAACACCGGTAGCCTAGTACAATTATAAAGTGATGTACGAATGTTTTTCAACACCAAAATCTTAACACATTATCAGACATCAAAATTCTGTCCTAAACAAATCAAAAGTTGAGTTAGTCCAAATCTGGGAAAGGATAGTTAATCATTACAGGGAGCCAGATACCAATTATACTGATGTCCTTCAACATTTGCACCAAAATCTTTACATTTTATTAGATAGGGGTGGGGGGGGGGGGTTTCCCTACAGTTCCTGTCGAATGAATCCAGGAAGGGTTCAAACTCTACAATGATCTTGATACAAAATCTTCACAGTAAAAATACAATGCCAAAGCCCAAGTGACAATATTAGCTCACTCTCTTTTTTAAAGAAGTAAGCTAAAATCTACCTGTTCACAATCCTGCTTAACCATTATATGTGTACTGCTGATATAGAAGAACTGGATGACTTCAATTAGTATTATTTATGAGGTTTTCAGATATAGAACAGATATGTTAGACATAATTAAACCAGAAATCATTTTTTACAAAGTCTTCCAGTTAATTGGAGGAAATTTCACCAAGTTTGATCTACTGAAGCAGACATCCGACCAATCTCGTACTCAATACATTTCTGTTTAAAAGGTACTAGTAACATCAGTGATAGCAGGAACTCTAATTCTCTCTTACTTGTCACAGGTCTCTAACCTCACTTCTACTATTTTAGTGAGACAGCAAATATTTAATGAGAATTTACAGATAACACTGGTAACAATGATTTCAAGACCAACCAAATCTTTATATCACGTAGTTACAAGTAAAAACTGAATTCCGGTGTCTATATCCCTTCCAAAGAATTGTTTTGTAAGATTTCCTATATGACAACAAACATAGAAGAGATCTCAGAGAGATCTTGGTGCCCACCATTGTTTAATCTTTATTTGCTCTCTGAAAGTTGGATCTTTTCCCTTCTTTTCTCCTCTTCTATGTTTTTGATCTTAATGATAAGACATTTTAACATTCCTTTGCAGAAATAGTGATGATAATCTTTAACTGCCAAATCAAAGATGGGCACCTCGAAGACATTTTGTTTATTCATATGAAATTTGAAAGAGATCCATTTCGTACTTTTCAGAATAGTGATAACAAACTTGCAAAGGCAAAGTCAAAATCGGAGATGGTCACCTGGAGTGCCTACACTTGAAATTTGAGAAAGATCTATGCAGTATTTCTCAAGAAATAGTGGTAATAAACTTGCAAAGTCAAAATCCAAGATGGCCACCTGTTGGACACAACTAGGTTCAAAGGGAAACCTTCAAAGGAAAATCGAGAGAGATCCATTTGGTACTTCTGAAGAAATAGGGATAACAAACTTTACTTGGCTAAATCCATAATGGCTGCCTGTCAGCCATTTTGTTTTTCTGATCAGTCCTAAAATCAAACAAGCAGAACTAGGGACCAAGAGGGACTTATACATGAAATTTGAGAAAGACCTATCTAGTTCCTCTCAAGAAATAGCGATACTAATATTGCAAAGTCAAAATCCAAGATGGCCACCTGTCAAACTTTTTGCTTTTCTGATCAGTCCCAAAATTAAACAGGCAGAACTAGGGATGATGGAGAACCTACATAGGAAATTTGACAGAGATCCGTTCAGTAATTCTCAAGAAACAGCGATATGAATATCACAAATTCAAAATCAAAGATGGTCACCTGTCAGCCATTCTATCTTTCTGATTAGTTCTAAAAATAAATGGGCACAACTAGAGACCAAGAGGAACCTACATACAAATTTCGAGAGAGATCCATTGAGCACTTTTCAAGAAACAGCAATAATATTCTGGCAAAGTCAAAATCCAAAATGACATTTTATTTTTGCGATCAGTCAGGCACAACTAGGGACCAAGGGGAACCTAGATATGAAAATTGAGAAAGGTCCATCCAGTACTTCTCAAGTAGCAATAAAAAAATGTTTACAGATGGATGGACGGACCACAAACCATAAACGTAGGGCGATTTGAATAGGCCAATATCTGATGGTGGGCTAAAAATCAGGAACTTACACATTCGTCTAGCACAAAGAAGCGAACTTGGTGTAGCAGTAGCTTGCCAGTAGAGATTAGGTCTTCAAGTCTTCCAGGGGTTCCCACCACAATATCCACCTTAAACACAAAAACATCATCTAAAACCCTGAGCCTCTGGTTTTCTAAAATAATTCATTCTCTTATCAAATAAGCTACAATGAAATTCTTTTTTCTAACTCTACATTTTACTCTTCCCCCATCCACAACAATGGTTTTTTAATCCCTTTTATTCATTAATCTTAGTTTTTCCCATACTTCCATTTTTACTTCAACATATTGTAAATATAGCTGAAGGTAAATCTGCCTAATAGGCAACACAAGTTAACTTATCATTTCAAGCTGATAATTTCAAAAATTACATTTTATCTTATTTATCACTAACAAATCCAGATAATTTTGCTAAGTTGTTCAAGAGATCAATTTTAATTCTACTTTTAACTTCCTCTGTAGAACAGCAAGGACTGTTCCCCTGTCTCTTACCTCTCCCACCCTAAGGCTATTCTTCTAACCTTCCGATAAGTCAACAAAAGGCTGTTCTATTTACCCATGTCAAAGAACTCAAAGGAACTAATGCATTTATCCTCCATAAATATGACTACTGTAGCTGTTCTACGCATTGCCTTTCCCCCTTGCTGGACTAATAGCGGCTGTTATACTTACCCCCCTCTGTAGAACCTCCATCTGGTCCTTCACATTGACACCACCAATGATCAACAGCTCCCTGTCAACAACAAACAAAAAAACCAGAATAATTTGTGACCACAGAGGTCTGATGTGGAACCAATATTACACACTGTCATGCATATTGAAAGTTTTTTTTCTCTTGTGAGGCAACAAACATTCTACATGCAATCATTGATTGAAGATATTTCTATTAAATAAATGTTATAAAGTTTCAGTTTTCCTCAAAATAAGAACTTAATTTAAAAATGTAAACCAAAAACTGATTGATTAGCCTAAAATTTATTAAATTTATTTTTTTTTTTTTCTAATAGGATAATCGTGAACGCAGGCATTTCTGCCTCTGTATTCACATCAACATAATGTATTATTAATAAAAACATAATATTAGACTAGATATAAGATGCTGTATGATCGTACTTCAGTTCAAGATCTTTCCAGAAATCGTTATATGTGATCCTAACTGGTAAGTGACACTTCATTCGTGTCAGGTGTCGGAAACCTGACAGGTTACTCCGACAATGTTACGACAGATGCCTTGTATCCTTACCCTTATAGGCAATTTACAAGTTTCTCTACACTGTATATGTCATGTTTGTGTAAAAACAGATTCCTCTACATATAACAAGTGTAGGTATATGTTACCTAGGTAACATATACCTATAGGTAAAGTCAGGTTTCTCAAAATCTGTCAGGTGTCACTAAAGTCATGATTCTCAAGATCTGTCACATGTTAGTAATGTCAGGTTCTTCTATATCTGTCAGGTGTCAGTAAATTCAGGATTCTCTATACATGTCAGGTGTCGGTAAAGTCAGGATTCTCTATATATGTCAGGTGTCAGTAAAGTCAGAATTCTCTATACATGTCAGGAGTCAGTAAAGTCAGAATTCTCTATACATGTCAGGTGTCAGTAAAGTCATGTTTTTCTATACCTGTCAGGTGTCAGTAATGTAAGGTTTCTCTACACATGTTTAGGTGTCAGTAATGTCAGGATTCTCTATATATGGCAGGTGTCAGAAAGTCAGAATTCTCTATACATGTCAGGTGTCAGTAATAACAGGTTTTTCTATACATGTCAAGTGTCCGTAATAACAGGTTTTTCTATACATGTCAGGTGTCAGTAAAGTCAGTATTCTCTATACCTGTCAGGTGTCAGTAAAGTCAGGATTCTCTATACCTGTCAGGTGTCAGTAAAGTCAGGATTATCTATACATCTCAGGTGTCAGTAAAGGCAGGATTCTCTATACCTGTCAGGTGTCATTAAATTCAGGTTTTTATAGACATGTCAGGTGTTACTATAGTCAGTTTTGTCTATGATATTTGATCGATGTTTACCTGATAGAAGGGTTAGACAGATGGACTTTGAACTTCTGGATTTGCGTGAAAGTCTGTAAACAAACATTGAGCTTAAGAATATTTGTTAGAATGATATATTGTAAGGTATGCAAGAAGAGAGATAACTCCTACTAAAATTACCAGATATACTTTGTAAATCATTTACTGGTTGTATATCCTAATCACTGAGTAACCCATTGTCCTTTTTTATTTACATCTCACAATATCACTAGGTTAGATTTGTTCATATTGATTTAAAACAAAAATGAGGCTCCAATTTTTATGTGAATTATGAAATAGGAGATGTTTTCATTTTAAATTTTCCCTTGTCAAGTATTTTCATTTGACAGCAACATACAGTATCTTTCAGTTCTATAAGAATATCAGTAATATTATTAGGAATGCATAATCTGGCAATTTTTGAAATGCAACATTTTAAAATTTGAATATTATACATGTCAAAACTTGTTACTTAAAAGTTTTCTTTCATTTATTCTGATTAAGCTCATCATAGTGATTTGGAAACATTTTCTGTCTTGGGTTTTTTTCGGATAAAAATTTCATTGGTGTTAACTGGTGTAAATGACAATAGTTATAACTTATAAAAGAAAATGTCCAATACATCATGAATATAAGGATTGTAATGTAACAATGCTGAAATAATACAATCCACATACTGCAAAATAGAAATCATGAGGGACAACCGACCTCAAATATAAATAACTATTGCATGTATTGCAAAAAGTCACTGCAAAAAAAAAATCAAATTTGTTTGGTTTAGTTAAAAGATTTAAATACATATTAAAATAACTGACCTGTTCAGCAAGTTCTCTAGAAGGCTGTAAATATAAAATCAACACAATTTATATAAAGCTTTTAACATTAACTGCATGTACAGTAGAATATTCTGACACCAAGTTTATCTCAAACAAGAGGCCCAATGGGCCTTTATCACCCAACTATTACATAACTCTACTGAAATATTTTATCTATGTGAATACCATGTTTGTTCTGAATTTATTACCCTTTAAATTTCAGTATTTCACAGGTCAAAACCACATTGAATCCCTGCATCATTGATATTGAGTCATCTGAACAAACTTGATGACCTTTTGTAATGCTAATGGACAAACATCATAACCTAGGGCTTTAAATTTGAAGATTTTAATATGGTTGATCATGTTGACATCGACAGCAAGTCCTTTCAAACATACCTCTATGATAATGGCCTGAGGGGCATTTGGAGCGGGCTTGGAAGAGACAGCTACACCACCTGTACATCAAAAACAGAGAAACACAGACACTGCTAGAGGTTTGCCTTTGTTTTTAACATTTGAAATAGTATAGCATTTTGTGATAAAAAAAATATTAGGAAACTGAAAGTAACTTTTTAAAAAATGGAGAAAAATCAAATTACTAATGTAGATGTCTTTCATTTTAATGCTTATATATTTTTTTTTTTACCAATCAAAGCAGCAGATTTCATCTCTGGTCATATGAAATTTAGCACCTATTTGGAAAGACACTTAGTAATTTAATAACCATACTTGTTACCATTTCACGTGATTTAGAAAGACAAATCTAGAGAGTACTTACTGGAAATTCTGGATTGTACAACACAGCGAGAATTGGCTTGGGCAACACCCACATAGTTCTTCTGTATAAAATCACAAACAACAAAACATGATGAGAGATGTGGCAACTTTACTTACTACTATAAAATAAGTGAATTATTATCTTTAACCAGTAAAATTCATACCAGTAAAAACTTGCTTATCAAACAAGCATTTCAAAGGCAAAGACTTGATGTACTTAAATTTAAACAAACAGGACAGATTCTCCTTATTTCTTTTATTTTTTTATTTCTTCAAGAAATGAATATGTAACTTAAGTGGCACCTTGAAGTTGAATCAGATTTTTCACTTCTGGGTGAACATGTCCCCCTTGATTTTGTCCTTAAGATTTTTGTGAGATATGGTTATTATTAGTTTAGAATTAAGAACTCTCCATTGCAACTATACATGTTTTAGATATCAAGGTATTCACATTTTGCAAATCTTAATATGGCATCAAGATCTTTTGTTTCAGTAACATCATTGTTTATCGGCGTCAGCCCTAACCTTCTAAAGATAGATTTAATATCTTTACTTACACCAGGAGGGAACTTAAATGGTGTTTTACCAAAGTTGAACTCCATTTCAGCGTTCTAAAAAAATAAAGCAAAAATCAATTGTAGAATTTTGGTAGATGACCGCACAATATTATGACATTTTATGATGTATAAAACCAATTAATTTTTCAAGTGAAGTTTTTGGGAATGGGCATTGTCATGTTATGTTTACAAAGATTGTTTACAAAGATTACAAAGAAGGTTACAAAGATTGGAACATTTTCAGTTTTGAGAAAGGGAGGAATGTGGGTCAGATAGGTGTTTGTTTTTATAGTTAAGTTCACCACAAGTGTGAAACATCCTACAGAACAGCATACCAACCTTTAGTGTAACAGCAGCATAAAACTTTTCACTTTTTAAGTGTGGTGGAATATCATAGGCCTTTCCCAGGTCTACACCTACAATTCAATATGAATCAACATCAAAGGTTTTGATTTTCTCCCCACAAAAAATCTGACAAACAATTATCACAGGAAATTCTGTTCATGAAACAAGACTGAACTTCTAGTGGTCTAACTTTATTTCCAGTCTCTTCCAAAGTCTTACAGTACATGAAGTTAAATAGTAAACAAACATATTTTACCAACTAATTAATATCAAATCGGGCCTCTATTCCAAATTGTAAAACTGCTGATATGGTGTATTGTCAATAAATAATGAAGACATCATTTTTTTAATTAGAAATATCCAATTTTTTATATGCATTTTGTTATTGAAATGAAATGAACTTAAAAAAATAATAAAATGAAAAAATAAAAATTTCCAATCAAAATATACTTTTGATGCATCAGAGAAAATTGTAAAAAATCTAACATCATTTCCTGATCAACATTAGTGATTATAACCAATGAAAATAAAAACCATACCATTTTTTGACCAGCGTATTTCTGCATTGTCAATGTCAAGAAAGCAACCTATTGTATCATTCATGCCGTAAGCCTACGAAATATAAACAAAAGAATAGTCAATAGCACATATCCCAGTATCGAACAGTGGGACAACTTTGTTATAACAACAAAACATGTTTATATACATAATACATGTACAATCATAAACAATTCTAACATTTGTAATAATGCATTGATATTTTATTACAACTTATCCTTATAATCAAGAACTTGGGTCACTCATTATTTATGCCTTAGGCCTGCTAAGTATAACAAGAGTGCCATGGACACAATATACGCCGCAACAATATATAAAGATCAAGATAAAATGGCATAAATCTTACAAAATAAATGAACAGTAAAATCGCCCCTTCATGCACATCAAACCATTGCATTAGTGACATTGAGCAAGTTTCGTGAAAATGATGATTATTTTAGGAGGAGTTGCGTTCACAAGGCTCCAATATGAGCAAGCTACAAATACAAAGTTGAAAATGGCATAAATCTTACAAAAATCAATGAGCATCATGAGCTCCCTCAAATACCTCAAATTCTTTTCATCCTTTGAACTTTTGCTGTAGCATCCATTAATTCACTACTGATTTACAGAGAGTATCAACATAATGCTGTGCAACTAAGTGATATTATATCTCTTATTTTGATACATCAATAAATTTCCTTGTGTAATTAATTTGAGGTTTTTTCATGTAAAACCAATTTTCATGAGGTAATACTTACCATAACTTTAGTATGCAAATACAGTACCTACACCCATCTTTGTATCCCGACAACAAAAGATTCAAACAATCCCACCCTCCCTACGATCCATGAGCATTTTTCATTAGCTATGTTGGTCAGAAATTGATTGTTATGTCATAATATGGACACTGATATAACATTCATGAATTAATATGGTGCAAAAAAATGGCTTCCTCTGTTCAATTTTCTCGTCCACATTATTACTTTAAAACCTGTCAAAATTTTTTTTCATATCATATGAGATTTCATGAATCTTGCCTCAAAGTTTTAGTTTTTGCTCATCAATTAAGGCCCACAAAGATAAAAACTTTTAAAACCCTTTTCATGAAAACTGATATGAAATGAAATTTATGATCTTATAGATACACTTAATTCTAAAATCATTTTTGTCTTCACTGTCCTATATATGCTCATTCTGTATCACACCTAACCATAAAACAAACCTGTCCGTAGGAGTCAAACTGTCTGCCCCAGGATTTCTTGCCAGTTCCTCCAAACCCAAAACCAAATTTGTCAGTGCCCAGATCAAGTGTGGCTTTGTCAGTAGCCCAGCCAACACGACATAGCCCCTCATCTGTGACTGTTGCCTCAAAATAGTAGCGACCTGAAATATACATGAACACCATTACAATTTCTGAGAAACAATGCTTTATGAATTTTTTTCGAACTCAACCTGAATGACATTTCAAAGTTAATTAGAATGACAAAATTTCAAAATACCATTTGTGAAAAAGTTTTAGGATGTGAACAGTTTTTCCAGTCAGTTTTAATAGTTCAATCATATTTAAGCCACAGGTAAAGCAATTCACCAAAGATGGGTGTGACCTGAAATTGTAAGTCTTTATTTTAATGTGTATAAGGTTTCTTAAGTACATTTACTCATAACCTTATATTTTTAATACAGATTTGATGTCAAAGCCGTAAGAAAAGCCATGAACATCTCTGTATCATTCTGGCTTCATTGAGTCCAACAACACTATTAATCAGTGTTCTTTATCACACTTTAGTTCTCTTTCAGTTTCAGACTTGTCAGCAGATCCATCACAAAATACACTAAAGTAGTCGCCATTATGTAGGAGATTTTCATGTTAATCATGGTGGAAGCCAGCAATTTTTAAAACAAATTCCTCAGTCGCCTTGTCATTGAAATATATATTTCCTAGTTCACTAGAAATAAACTCAAAACTACTTCCTCCTTTCTATTCAAGTTATTCAAGACATATATCAAGTTTTGAAGTATTTTGCACTGGATGCACAAGGATTTACTCATACTAAAAACGATACTGATTTTTATCTTAATCTGGGTTAACTGAACACTTGTAACAATAGAAAATACTTGTTTCTGAAAAATAGTAGAGAGGAAAATGAATAGATAAGATATAAATGCATGAATAAAGATACAAAATGCTCAATGTTAGAAAACAGAATAAAATTTGTCATTGCAATCTATATCATAAATAGCTATATTTATGTCCTAAATACAGTTGTCATCACTTCACAATGATGTCCTTTTGCCTTACCCACCTTCCTGTGTTACCGCCTTATTAGAGCGAGTTCCATGCCATTTCTGTTGGTCACGAGCTTGACATAACAGTCCCTCTGGATCAATGGCTGCCAAAATATCATGAAATTAATATTTGGTTACAGCAATTTTAAACAAAAACTGTATGAACAGAAAAATGCTTAGAATAACAAATAACGTCGGATCAACCAACAAAATTATATACAATATACTTAATGCTGGACATATCTTACCCAAAGCATCTCCTCTGTCATGCATGTTCATCTTCCAGGCATTTCCCCCGGAACCTAAACAAAAACAAAAGATTGAGGATTGTGTAATATACAAGTGAATAGCACCTTTCAACACTAGTTTAAGATTAGATATAGTCAAGCCAAATAATAAACTAAAAGCCACCATACTGCTGTTTGATCATTCTAGAACTTGTCCATGATGCTTTGAGCCTAAAAGATGATATCTAAAAGGCGTCTCAGGTAAATAGAAATCATACAGCTGTTTCGTTCTAATGTGATCAAATATAAGAGGTTTCTTAGGCAGCAAATTGAAATCATACAGCTGTTTTGTCTGCAGTGATCAATCTACATGGGAGTCCCAAGTCTTAAGAAATAATTGAAATTAAAGTTACATTTGGAACCTATTGTTTTTGTTTTAATAAAGGCAAAAAGGAACCATAAAAATGAATTGTAGATTGTCAGTGATGCTAGGGTAGGGGACTAAAGTGATGAAATCTAGAAGGCATCTCAGGCAAATCAAAATCGATTAAATCAATCCTGAACTTAGAAACCATGAGAGTGTATTTAGAACTTACCTATAATAAACATGTTTATCCTTCTTGTCATTGATTTTTTTCATTATTGAATTAGCCAAGTGAGTATAAAGTTTTAAGCTCTTGTTCATGTAGGGAGTGGGCTCAATATAGGACAATTATATAATAGTAATTGAAATTTCTACAGCTGACATTACAAAGATAAGGATCAATATCAAATAAATTTAAAATAACTTAACACTTTAAATAAGTTAAAATTAAAATTATATAGGGCATATAAGACATTTTCAGTGATCTTTGTGATCCGATCATATTTCTTAAAAAAAGATTAGTAAAATAAGGTACATTGTATTTTTTCAGTAAAAAAACTCTAGTTTCAAGAATGCAAATGGTTAATATAGATGTTCCACTATACCATGGTCAGAATAAAGAAAATTAGTAAGGTTGACTTGCAGTGAAAGGAAAATTTTGTTTGAGAGCAGAGTAAATGTTTTCTTTAATTGAAAAGCACATATTTATTTCCAAGTGACAAACGAATATAGTACAAGTACATTTTAGACAATTTGATACAATATATACTTTAGTAATGCAAAATGCACAAATTTTACAGGCAGCTTGTCAAAATAATTTCATACAAATCATTGTGTCCTGTATATTGTACATGCCATGGACATATGAAAATCTTACTTGTTTTGTTTCAGATATTCAATCAAAAAGCCAGGCAGCCAAACCAATTTCTTTAAAAAAATCTACCCTGTTGCACATGCATTATGAAAATCTTATATACAGTTAAACCTGCCTTAAAAGCCATGTGTATATAGCAAGTAGCTGTCTATAAAACAACTACTTTCTGGTCCATTCCAATACCATATACAGAAATTGAACTTCTATACATAAGTACCTAACAATAAAGGTCATTTTTCTTTGCTCCATTGAGTGACCGTTATAGAAAGGTTTGATGTATTTTCTTTTAAGTTGCGGTTTTCTGTGAAAATCTTATTGGAATGTTTATAAATTCTTTAAGTCTCACCTGCTGTTTTTGAGGAAAGCTTTCTTCCCTTCCCTTCTTCCTGGTCTTTCAGTGTTTCATACACAATCTGCATGATGGGGAGGCAGAAAGCCTGCAATGTAGAATAAACATGTTTGTAGCAAAGCAGAAATAAAATCACCAAAATGCCAAAGGAATCACAATCAACTACAGAACAAAACCACAAAAATTATCCAAAATTTTATTGAAATGGCGTCGCTGATCTTAGACCCAACAATTACTAATTCCTCTAGATGTCAGTTTCTTCATAAGTGATAAGAATACTCTGATCAGGCTTTTTTATGACAATGCTGTCTAAAAAATTCAAATCATTGTTAACACTGGACAGAAAACCTGTAAGTGAAATATTCATGAACAGATTTTTACTGACTGCTTTAGGAAAATTGCTTTTACATACTTACTCCAGTTTTACCGCTGCCTGTCTCTGCAGCCTAGAAAAGAAAGTTACCAAAATAAGAATTGAAGAATCATGCTTCTATCATGAATAATCAAATTTTTCAAAACTAGTTATGTAACGTAAATTTTATATACACATATAAATATTTTGACAGCATACATACTGTTTACATTTACATTTAGCAAACAAGAACTAATCTGAACCATTCATAACAATGCTACAGTTTAAGTCAAAGTCTTACCATGAGCACATCACCACCACCAAGAATCATGGGAATGGCTTCAGCTTGTACATCGGTTGGTAAACTGTGGCAAAAATATCACAGATTTGAAAAAAAAAACTCACAGAAAATCACACATTCTTGTTGCATAATTTTATTACTAAATGTTAAATGTAGTGTTATTGTTTTACATTCATGTTTACAGGCATGTATTTCATTTCCAAAGAAGATTTATTTCTTTTTTTTTCAATCAATCAAAAGATAATGATGTACAACATGCCTTGAACAAAATTTTATGTAAAAAAAAATCTTACGTCCAATCCATTTCCTCTACTGCCTGTCCAATTTCAGGCATAACGCCCATTTCTGAAGAAAAGTAAGATATACATAAATTACAAAGGAACAGAAAAGGTTACACAGTTCAAAGAATATCAAAATAACATTCAAATTTCAAAAGTCAGCTTGAGAAACTCATTAATCAAATCCTAACTAGGTATGTTAAGTCTGTTAAGCCAGAAGATATACAAGAAAAATATCTGTATTACTTCTATCATAATAATTGTGAAAAACAGAGCATGGAGACTGGTACATTTGATAGTGCCAAATACAGCTAGGTATTTGGGTTCAGGTGTTCAAAGTAAATGGAAAAAACTCCAGAGCTATTTGAAGTTACATTCTTGCTGAAATGACAAAATGGCACACACTGAGGCAAGAAACATCATACTGACAGCCAGTTCAAATGGATATAGGTAGTCTGCTGGGAAACAATGTTTGTTGGGTTTGTTGTTACCCCACCAATGGCATGTGGGTTTAAAACTTCTTTTCATTGTTACACTTGTGAACAATCATGTAAAGTTAAGGTACATTTAATCATTCTCATTTTAAGTCCCTCTGCTATATGTTCCTGAAAAAGACCCTCATCAAAAACAGTAAAAGGCATTGCCGAAAGAGGGAATATAACAAGCTACATGACACAATGACAGTGTACAAAGTAAAGAATAATTGGTGTATCAAATGTGACATGAAAACTGTGATTGGTTGTTGGTTGTCACTTTTCTTAAATGCATAACAACACACCCCCCCCCCCCCCCCACCTTTTTTCAATAGGAGTTTTCAGTTACACTACGTTGTCATCCTCTTAAACCCAAATTCAGTGTCATATTTCAAATATTTGGATACAGATGATGAGCAAAAACAATGCATAAAGACGTGTCACCTTAAATTTTGCCAAATATTTCACAACTTTCTGAAACATCTGATGGATGTTTCGCCGGCCATGGGCGCCGCCATATTGGATTTCCACACATGCATGGAGAATATTTAGAAAAGAAGACAATTTGGACATCGTAGAATAAATATGTCGAATTCTTCTTTTTACAAAATCATCTGAATATTTACAAGGACAAGAAAACGTCCCAAACATTCTTAGTATTATTTAAAAACGTGTTATAAACAGACGAACCTTCGAAAGCCGTCATGATGAAGATGCAGATTCAGCAAAGTGTCAACGAAGAGGGTTAGTTTCGTATTTTCTACGAGGGGAATTCGATCGTCCGTCGTCTAGTACTATATAGAAAATAATATTGTATGTCACGGAGATCATATCAAAACTACACATATGGAAAAACACGTGTATTCGTTTTTATTAGATCAATTACCGGACGCCCGTCTTGCAAGTCAAAATAAATCGGCGTAGTCGACGCTCAGCGGGGACAGATATTAGGTGGGTATTTTTTTTTTAGATTTTGATTTTAGTTTTTTTCTTCCTTTTTTTCATTAATTGTATTAAATTGTTTGAAATTTAATTTTTAACACCAAACTACACGCTAAAGTAATCCGTTATTTTTTAATGCATTATTTTTAATAATGCGAGTATCGAAGACCTCCATATATAATCCAATTCGATTTAGTTAACCTTACCCTGCTAAGTCCATGATCTGCCATACATGGTGTGTAGGCCCTCCAGTATACAAAGATGTACATGCATTTGTTATTTTTGGAGGTAAAACTGCAAGTTGATATATTTCGTGTAGGTTTACCGCCTATTTGTCATTGTGTTCATGGTTATTATTGTTCTCTTTATTACCCCTAAAATGACGAATTGGAACATGTAACATAAAATGTTCAGAACATCTATAGAAAGGATGCGATTATTCCATAGAAGTATCAGTTAATTAATTAGGAAATTGCTGATTTAACAAGGATAAAGATTAAGAAGACATGACATTCATAAATATTTTACTGAATAAATACAATGTATACATATCAAGTTTGTATATAAACAAAGAATCATTGGCAGTCAATATTTGATCAAATAATCACATCATTTTGTCAGCCACCAGACAGCACATTATAAAAAACAAAGCAATTCATGATATTTGCCAAGCTGTTAAACAACGCACTGTATGGCTGTTAGCAATAACATCGTACATTACGTTCTGCTTGTAGATCGCGTTAAAAGTTTTATATTACACAGTGGTCCACCCGAGAGTGGATCTGAACCATTCGTATCGATGCACGGACACATCTGGGGTCTTTTTAACTGATTGTTGTATGTCTTTGTTTCTATTAGATTCCTCAACATCTTGCAGTTCTATCTTTCGCCCGACATTATTCTCGGAACCGCGTGATCCCTCCGTCTGGCTCGATGTTACTGAAGCTGGAGATGCAATAATGCCTGCCAGCTGGCCTGGGAAATCGACAGCACTTATATAACTGGTAGATGGCGCCAGGGTGCTGCTGAATATCGTAGACATGAGTCGCAGTGGCCTAGATTCCACTAATGTGTCGATTACCACTTCGTCGTCTGCTTGAACGTCCGTCGAGGCAATATCAGTCCAAACGGGCTCCACAAATAATGTTGGGTCAATCTCGTATACCACTGGCCTCTTACTTGGTCGGAAAAAGTAATAACATCCCAATAGGCATCTGCCCAGCAATGGTGCTGGACATCCCTCTGAACCATTGAGACTGGCAACATCCACAAGATCCTACAAGCAAGAATAACAGTACACATATAATCATTTATTTAAGGATTCACTAAAAACAACCTTGATATTGTCTGATGCTATCTCTGTCTCTCCACTAGTGATACCAAAATGCTTACAAATATTTCTTACTTGATACGACATATCTTACACTTTCTTTTATGAAATGCTATCTTTGGAAATTACGTGGTGCAAAAAATAATATCGTCATTGAAGAAGCAGTTCATATTTGTTGTTTCATATTTCGTAATGCCATTTCATGTTATGAACCATCAACAAGACTCTATAGACGAAATCCTATTTACAACACAAGCATTAACTATCTTGATATAATTGAATATTTTATTTTCGAGGACAACATACCTGTGGATCTACTATAATGTGGCGTCGTTGAGTCATGACTTGAATGCAATATAACCAGATCGTACAACAAAAATAAAATCTGAAAAAAAAACAATTTCAATTTATTCCATGCCTATTTCAGTAGATACCGTAAAATCGTAGGTTTTCTTTGGTAGATTTAGAAATTTTAGGTCATATGATGCATTTTGTTGATAAAACGTATTCACGATTAACACTCAGGTTAAAACTTCAACTTTTAAACTTCCTTTCTGATATTCCATGGACATTTGAATTAGTTTACGAAGACGAAATCAACGGAACTTAAGCACTACGACATCATTTAAAAGATTATACATAATTGTTGTTAAACTTTAATTAACGTTATGCCATATGATATACCGCACAGCTGTATACATCTTATCTGTCTTTGATGTAAATACATATGGACTTCCATTCTGGGAATAGGAAATCATGTTATGTGGACAACTAACTGACCTTAAGAAGGACAACATTTTGACCAATTTGTATTTCTGTTATCAGAGGCATTAGTTAAAACAATCTGATTCCTCCCCCACCCATCCCCAAAAGTTATGTACCGTTACTATGTCGAAACGGATTACGTTTGCCAACTTTAAGTCACAGTATCATGGCGATATATGAAGTTCAATTAACAATTGTCGGAAAACGGAGGAAAACGAAAAAAACCAAAGGTAAATCATCACAAAACTGAAGTTAAACTGTAAAATTCCCGCCCTTGTGTTTAGACATTCCAGTTTATCATTTTTAGATGTTAATTAATGCATGACATTTGGACTTTAGACTTTAGTCCTGGTGTGTTTATCTATGTCGCCATGTTGTCAGCAATAGGCCCATAGCCTCCGTATTGCTTATAAATAAAGTTTGAATTAATGAAAAAATCTTATCAGCTTTAAGGTGATCGTTCTCGCTAAAAACAAATCTAAATATTCTTCAAGCATTCACTCCAATAAAGAAAAGTCGACCTTTTCTGTGAAAGTAAAAAGTATTTCCTATTAACATCACCACCACCACCAGAGAAATATATAACGTCTCCGCCACCAACCACCTACCAACCGCCTGTTTGTTTGCTGGGTTTATCGCCCGTCAAGTAGCTGGTGGCTACCTCACTGTATACGTTAAGAGAGGCCCGTCGCATGCTTCCCGACAAATAAAAAGCAAACAATTAGGAATGGAATCTCAGTCATTCTCAAAAAAGTTTGAAATAACAATCAATACCAATAAATGTTTTTATTTGGGCTACAAATTTATCTGGACGTAAGAGAAAACTGATGTGTAACATATCATTGTGACTATTTCAAGTAACCTATGATAAGAAACTATATAGGTAATTAATTCAAACAGTTTATTCAATTTTCAAACAGAAGTTACACCTTGATCGATTATCAAACAAAGCCAATAAACAAATTACATAAATCATGTTGACTTAAGCAAAGAATTTATTTTAATGACTGTTACCTAGTGATAATGAACTTCTGTAACTGTGTTCAAAACATCATTAATAGGTGATGATTTAAACGTTTGCTTTTTTGCTTTTTTTAAATTTTTGAAATCATATCATAAGATTAAGAATTGTATAGTATTTGATTTCGTCAACGTTTTAATGAACTGAAGAACAGTCATGTCCGAGCTTATTTGATCTCTTTCGACCCCGACTCTTGAGGCCCTGGGAGTTACATTAAATTGTCATCCTACACTAATTGTTCTAAGCAAGTGGGAGTGGGAATTATATTTTTTCGGGAAAAAATGAACAGATCATGCTCAAAATGTGGGTTTTCTATATAAACAATGGTAGACATTGTGGGGGGGTGTTTGATGCAGAATTTCATTAAAACTGGCCCAGGACTTTCTGAGAAGAGGTCGAAAATGCGGACGCACGGTGCCAGACAAAAGGCGATCGCAATCAGTAATATTTTACTACACTTCAAGTGAAATTAAACAGACATATTTGTGCAGTATTGAAAACTTACGTTGTTTATCATTTCCCCGGCTTCACACATCAAACATTATTCCAACTACATGTGAATTATTTGATATAGTCGATTGTATCTGTAAAGCTGGTCATGGAAGTTAACTTTTTAACTATCACAAGTTAAAATCTTATTCTTGTGTAAATACATAATAGTCAGCGACAAAACCATTTTATTTGGGTATGTAGTGCTTTTCTAAAATCATTTATTTGGCGGTAAAATCGAAAGGAAATTTCTAGCAATATTTTATAACCCAACAACCAAAATATATATATCGTATCTTTTATGTTTATGATATGTACCTATCGTGGCTAATTTCCACCCTCTCGGTATAAAATGTCACCGATTTTCCTCACGAGAGGTCTCTATCCTATTCTCATCCCCCTTCGACTGTCTAGCTTGTCGCTATGCCATCTGACGGGATGAAACGAAGGGCAATAACTCTGGTAGATTGGAATGAGTGAGGAGAATCTGTTACCACGAAAGTATGTTGTTGACAGGTAATATAATCAAAGTAAACTATCCTGGCCGTGAAACATCTTTAAATATTTCATGTATCAAGATAAACAAAAAGTTTTTTGATACCAGATATAACATAAAACAAGATATAATAAGTCATATTCTGACGTTCTTTTCCTTTATTAAAAAAGAAAAAAGACAAAAGCACACACAATTTTGAAGCATGTTTGCTTCAATATGAAATGAATACATTGATACTGAAGCCTGAATCACAAGACATACATTATCCCTATTATAAAACGACAATGTTATTGAGTAGAAACCACAATGTCTCGATGTCCGATATTGGCGGGATAAGTTTTGTGAAACAAAGTCGGAACTTTGTTTTTTTTAACTTAAAAAATATACTTACATTAAACTATTGTCTTCGTACTTTCGCCGATGTATCAGCTCATTATTCGGCACATTGTCTTGTTCGCTACAGATGATTGTCGCATTGTTTCTGGGGGGAAAGGGTTTGTGTAGTTATAGTATACTACAAATGTATTTAAGCTCCATTCCTGTGAATCGTTACATGCCCATGTGATGTTAGCGTCTTCGTATACACACCTTAATTAAATAAACTTCAAAACGAATCAATTGAAACTGTATACCACTATTTCTATATCGTTTCATTCAGAATCATTAATTGATATGTCT